TGGCCTAAGAAAGCTGGTTGGTATATTATTAATTATCTGTATATCATCGCCACTAATATCGCAAATAATGGGTTATTGTAGATATAAAAGTGGTAAAAAACGTACGGATTTATTAGTATTTGAAATGCTTTCGGGTTTAATAACACCCAAAAGTATTGGCTTTCAAGAGGTGGGAGTTGTCTATAAATTGTTGAGATTCAGCAAAATTATGCTTAAAATTGCGGACATATTCAGCAAATTATCGACATATCTACCGGTGTTTGGATTCATCATGGTGTTTCAAAGCAGACAAATATCGCTATACCTGGCAATACCCCACAGTATTGTCTGGGCCTATATGTACAATATAATCGTGGTTAATACTGTGTGGCCATTGGTTTACTATTGCATTATATCATATTATTTATCGCTAAAAATCCAGTCAATTAATGCGAAAATTAAAATTACAAAAGATATTACGAAAACAATTATTAATTATCATAAAATTATTCTCCAAATTATTGAATATAATAAAATTTGGTGCAATATATTAGCCATTTATTGGATATTATTTTCGTGGATGTTATCGATTTTAATGCTAATATCAACCCATAAAACAATGGTATCGTTTGCTAAAATGTTGGCATTTTTTGTATTCGTTCAGTTTTTATTCACCTTGTTGTTTCTAATACACTGTTCGGGTAAACTTCACAACCAAGCGGTTAAATCTTATAAGTTATTTAACAAAGCAATGTTTACAGATTACGTTCAAATACTACATAGATTAAAGGTAAATTAAAAATTTATATTATTCGTATATAAACTGTTTTTACAATATAAAATATAATGTTTATACTTTTCTAATTCATAGTTAATGGCATTTATTGAGCGTTTGAGTCAGAATAGGGTTGGCTTTTATTGTTGGAAATTATTTAAAATCAATAGATTTCAAGGATATAAAGTCAGTAATACAACGCAAATTAGGTTTTAAAAGTCTCTACGACTACTGCTTTGTAATGTGAGTTTCACTGCAATACATGTGCCAAAGAAGGGTCAGGGTACATTAAAATCGCCATTAGCTTGTCTTATGCAGAATTTAACTGTGAATCTGAATATGAAGTTTAAAATTTTTTATCTCGAATATATTTCGAGTTATTCGACTTAGAATTATTTTTTGAAAAATATTTTTTAACGAAATATATTAATATATTACATGCGTTCAATATAGAATATAACACTAAACACGAATTTAAAATCTAAATTTGTATAAGTCAAATACCTTTCGAGATATTTGACTTTAATGTTTATCCGAAAACTTTCTAACTTAACTTAACTAAGCCTTCCCTAACTTAACTTATATTTGGTTTGGTTATGTTTTGGTTAAGTTATGCAGCATCTTCAGCGTAAAATGTAACATAAAAATATTTTTCAAACAAAATTTCTAAGTTGAATAACTCGAAATATATTCGAGATAAAATTTTTAAACTTCATTTTCGGATTCACCGTTAAATTCTACATAAGACAAGCTAATGGCGATTTTTAGGTACTCTGACCCTTCTTTGACACATGTATTGCAGTGAAACTCACATTACAAAGCAGTAGTCGTAGAGACTTTTAATACCTAATTTGCGGTGTATACCTGTTATGTTTCTTGCATTTTATAAAGTGTCTATTTATTATAAACATTTCAATCTTTTCCTATTTTTGTCTATTCCACCGTGGTTATAGTTGTTTATTGTATAAAACAACTATTATCTATCAAGAAATAATTTGTTTTATAAAACTTTTAATGTAATTCATAGACAAATGTTTAATTTTTATCTCAAAAACGTTAAACAATCAAAAATCACTTAAGATTTCTTTTCTAATAAATGTGTTTTCGTTTTTAATCATAAATACATTCATTTAACTATTTTATTAGTACATTGCATATAGTGAACACTCTATATAGTGTCCTAAAATATGACCCGTACATTAACAACATAATTACATGTATCATTTGCAAATATAGTTTTTTGTTCTTAATACCAAGGTTATTTCAGAAAATGCTTACAATTGTTAGAATTGGTGACAGATTATTTAATTTTACAAATAATAAATGTTGAAATTTGTTTACTTAGCCTATTTAATTGTTACAATGTATAAAATCAAGGTGATTGTGATAGTAATTAAGTATAAGTTCAGTTTCAAAGTAAAAAGTTAAATTAATAATATTCTTACTTGTACTGAGCGCTTATAAAAGTGTAATAAGTATAAAGAATAATAACAATATGAACTATATAACAATATTAACATTTATGTGTTTCGGGTTATTCTGGGACAAATGCAAATGTGAAATAGGTACATTCAATTATATAATGTAGATAATTTAATATAATTAATAAATTATTAACCAGAATTATTTAATATTTTAATTAACAATAAAACAACCTAGGTGAGACCACTTGCCCCGACACCACATGGGAAGCGACAGAAAATCATTGCTACAAACAAGTGACGGGTGTCGTGAACTCGGAGACCGAGGCCAAGACTAAGTGCGCGGCACTGGGCTCGGGTTCAGTGCCCGTCACCGTTCACAGCGCCGCCGACAACACAGAATTGGCCACCGTTTTCAACAATACCGGTGACACCAGCTTTTACATCGGGCTAGAGTACAAAGTGGGCACACCTGCCGGCCACTGGACGTGGCTCGACGAGGGCAACGCCGACAAGGTGCATTTCTTTGACAACAACACCGATCAATCCGGTGCGTTACCATGCGCATATATTAACGTGGTGAGCGAAAAATTATCAGGATGGTTGACCAACGACTGTAAGCAAACGGTACAGTCGTTGGTGTGTCAGGTGCCCAGCCGTTCGCTGGAAGGCCTGTACGAGAGGCTGCAAAAGTTGGAGGACAGGGTGGACAGGGGTGTTGTGCCCATAGGGTTCATATACGTACAGTTGCCCAATCAGGCGACACCGCAAACATTATGGGGCGCTCAGTCCAAGTGGTCGGATGTGACTAAGTTGTACGCCGGGCTGTTTTTCCGGGTAGAGGGCAACGGGTCGGCCGCGTTTAACGCGACGGGTGTGACTATACAATCGGGCAGTCAGTTTACAAATATAACCATGGAGGTTACCGGAATTCGTGGTTTGACCTATACCAGCAAGGAGAGTCGTACCTTTAATATAACTGAGCAGGTTAAGTCTAAGCAGATTGTGCCTGGTGACGCGCTTGAATCGATGTATGTGTTTGTTGATAATAAAGATGCTCACCCGCAAAATACCGCGGTCAGAATTTGGCGCCGAACCGGCTAGGTGGTTTAATTGACTTTGTATTTTGTAATTTATTTAACTATATTAAATTAGTTACACTATACTTGATTTAGTTGTTTTCATTGCAAAAATTTATTATGCTATGTTTTATATAATACTTTAGTGATCTAAAGCTAGTTATTAAATCACGTATAAATGATCTTTGAAATTTTCTTTTCAAATCAATATAAATTTAATAAATTAATGTACCGGAAAATTATCAAGTTAATAATTATTAAATAAGGAATTCAATTAAAATAATTGTAAATTGTAATTATAATTGTAAACCAATTTAATAGTTGTGTACATTTTAACTAATGTAATTAAGGTTTGAAGTTTGTCACTTACTTGGATATGAATGACGCCAGAGTTTGTCTATGCCTGGATTAAAATAGTATAAAATAATACAAAATATCAAACAAAATGTTTACATTCTGACTCTTACATTGTACGTGTTTTAAGAGAAGAATTTCTCATACCAAATTACTATTATTTTTTATACAGGTAAAATTATTAAATGTATTTTAGATAAATGTACAGTTTTATTGAATAATCATTATACAGTAATTAAGTATGCATTTTATCTTGTATTTGTAGTTTAGTTATTATTTTTATTTATTCTTATAAAGAAAATTACACTATTAAAATCCATTTGCTATAATGTCGAAATAAAACATATTACTTGTAACAAAATTTTATTATTTATTAATTATTATTTTAATAATTACAATTACAAAGTATATAAACACATGAATTATTGTCGATCAATATATGAATAAATAATTTAATTAATAAAAGTTTTTCAAATACGTGTCGTCTCATTTTCGGCCTCCTTTTTCTCTGGTTGTGGCATAAATTTTAAAACAAATAATAACGGGCTATAAGCTAGACATAGCACGGCTGTTGTCCAACACAAGCCCTTGAAACCAATCCATGGCACTGAATAGCAAATTAAACAAGATCATTTAGTAATATATTTAAATTATTCTAGCTTACAATTATAATTAATTAAAAAGCTATGTTTACCAAGTGTTGCTGATAGTATGGGTGAGATAATGAAACTACAGCAAAGGGCACCGTTGCCTATAGCGTATACATTGCCTATTAATCAAAATTATTGTTAGATTAATAAGGGTATTTTATTATTTGTATAATTAAATTACCATATATTGCATTGTGCCTCATGTCAACAATGTGAGCTAGATCATTTAATAAAAATTATATTATAACTTTTTCAATTAGTTTGCGTTCATAGTTAAGTCATCAAAACATGCCATAACAATGTGATAAACATGCACAATTAATCAACATACCAAGCATAGGCATCATTGAGCTATCGATCATACCTGTGTGGTAAAAAATGATAAATTATATTGCATTATACATATTAATTTATAATATTTATTAATTAATAATTTTAGTTACAAACCAATACTAAAGCCAATGATACCATTTGGTACAATAAAGTAATAAAATGCTGTAACGTATGGTATCTAAAATAAAATAAGTTAACTTAGCTTGTTTAAATTAAAACAACAAAGTAGTTTAGGTAATTAATAAATGAAACTTACATAAAACAGTGAAAGTGCAATACCAACTAATGCTATCATAGCCGCCAACCATCTATCATCATAAATAAATAAATTTCATTATAATTAGATGACAAATAAAATAACATTGTGCTTGTTAAAATAATTAAATTGTTAGTTTTTTACATAGGTTGACTAATGAAAATGACTATACCTGCCCAGCCAGTAGCCGAGCGGGCCAAAAATATTAGCCCCGATCAAGTACGAAATGGACGATGGTAAAAATGCGATGCCCTGTTCCCATGTTTTTGAGTGCATTGTCTCCTTCATAAATAGGGGGAGAGAGGGCTCCAACACACCTATGCCTATGGAGCCCACACACAGGGCACCGGCAGTTATGGCCACATACGGGTCCAGCATTAGTCGCCATAGCGACGCACCTTTCTCCTTTTCTTTTACCACTTTCAAATCTAGTACACAGGTTTGTAGGCCTTAAGAATAGTGTAGAAAAATATATTTAATAATTATAATTTATAACCCATAAGGTAAATACACTTAATTAGATACGTACAGCCGTCGAATAGTGCCAAACCAGCTAGCACAAAAAATGGCGAACTCTTGCCTACAAACTCGTACATAACGCCGCCAAATGGGGGACCGGCTAATAGACCCAACGCCAGCCCACTCAACGCTATGGCCATAACATTGCCTTTTTATTATAAAAACATTTATTTATATTATAAAATTATGTTCTTGTTATTTTATGTTAATATAATTAATTATTATCAACCTCGTTGCTTGTCATCGGGGTAACGATCGGCAACTAATCCCAGCCCGGATACCGATGTAAATGATGAACTAAACCCCAATATTATCCTGGCTGCCAATAGCATCAAGTAGGATTTACTAAACGCATACACTATTTAGACATGTAACATAAATTATGGTATATAAATTAATTAAATAGTTATTATTTTTAATGTATAATATTTTCATACTCATTGTTGAGGCAAAACCAATCATTAGACCAAAAAATAGTGGTAAACTATAGCCAACACTAATTGGTAATAATTTTCATATTAATATTTTATATTTTTGAAAGAGAGAGAGAGAGAGAGAGAGAGAGAGAGAGAGAGCACTAACCGATTAGTGATGAGACCAATGATAGAGTTGGTAATGACCTGAGAAAGTGGTTTAGCGGCAAATAAAATGCCAATTTCTGTGCTCTCGTCCCATTGATTATCACTTTTTGTTTTACTTTCTTTTAATGGTTTACTATTTATACAAAACAACATTAAAAATATTAACACTAATTTAATTAACGCATAATAATTTAACAAAATTATACTTGCTTATTGGTATGATTTAATGTAATTGTATCCAATGGTATAACCAAGGCACTTCTCTTGACAAACCCTACTGGTGTTGTGGTAGGAGGTATAATACTCGTGGTAGAGTTAACATCGGGTTCACCATTAGGGTGGTTTATATCGTAAATAAGCGATGGTAGTATTGGCACTGAATTTGATAGTTGGTAAAAATATGAATTAAATTCAACTATCAAATAATAAGACATAACTAAATGCATTAATAAGTTATATGAAAAACAATTATTTCACTAACCTATTGACGTTACGAGCATACTATCCAGTAATAAGCCCAGCGTAACAATAAACAAGATCATATACCGGGACCATTTAGTCTCGGCACGTTTTTTGTTTATACAAAAAGCCATCACTAAATAATTTATTTGATATTAATTTGTTTTACACACAAAACAAACACACTCTGAATTACGTAGGTTAATTACAAATTACAAAATGAACTGGATTATGTAAAATATTGACTAAAAAGAAAACATAAAATTAACAATAGTTGCGTGTTAGAAGAAGTCCACATTTATTCAATTTGATAAAATAATAGAATATATAACTTATATAATATAAGGCTCAAGTATTTGCCATGCTGTGTACCTAGTATAATATATGATATACATTGGCTGATCAATTATGTTGTATCGCATCGACTGATATATCAAACATTATTATATTTAAACAATTCAATGTTAAACCTATGGACTTTTTAACCACAATTGATAACACAATAGGATAGTTTAGAAAAATACAGTAGCATATATGATAAGCGCCCATGGGCATATCTATTGTATGTACACACGAGAGTTTCGTGACGGTAAATATAGACTCAAAAAATAAAATAAAAATCAATTGAATGACGATAAACTAAATTACTATGCCTAAACACACATAAATGCTAAATTATATTTACACAGGGCAAAACTTCATATTATTACAGTGATTGTAAATATAAAGTTTGCACTATAAACATCACCTTTACGCTTAATTAAATAAATATTATTATTATTTTTCATTTTGCCCCCATTAATTAGTCAGTATACCCTGGTACATGATAGTCTCCCGCTGCACTTGGTACATTTTGTACTTGTATCTACATAGATTTGTACATACATTTATAAAGCGGAATTATGAACCAAATATATTTAATACATGTCACTTATAGTTAAAATATATTGACTGATAATTTTTTGTAACATGCACCAAAAAATGGTTATTTTACATAAATTATGATTGTATAAATCAGGAGAGGGGTATGTTATGAGAAAAATAATAATGTTGTTTGTACTTGTTTATATATAACCTAATAAAAATAATAATAACAACATTTAATAATAATTTATATTCTTTATTAATTACAATTCATCAATATGTATAAAAGTTACAAAAATTGTCAAAAAATATATAATGAATAAATAATGACGGGCACTTGAAAAATTATTTGATAATGTTCGACTGTAAATGTAGTGAAAGTATCTATTCTTGGTACAATAATTATACTGCAATTATCATGAGTTATCAAACAATATTTAATCATACAATAATTATTATAGGATTAATTAAGTACGGTCATTTTTAAGCACTTAAACGGCACTTTGTATAACAATTAAATTGGCAATTTATGATGTTTAGATAATTATTTATATTAAATTTTAAATAGGGACATATTTAATAAATTTCACCTGTTTAAATTGTACATATTCACATGGTGCAAATTTAGAGCATAGTTTACAATGAGTATATTATTATGCAATTCATACAATGTATTTATAATGCACGCACATTTAAATAAGTAATGCACTGTAATGTTATTTTATCTAATTAATTTTTTTATTGTACCAATGTTATTTAAATGCCCGGATTACTAGTAAATATATGGGATGTACACAGAATGCTGAATAAACATTTATTGTTGACTAGACTATTAAATGTAATTAAATTTACCTGCTTTCATTCTATTTGAATACACAAAAGTGCTTTACTTATTTTACTTTTGTATATTTTTAAAGGGCAATTATATAAAAAAGCCATTTGTTTACAACTGGCAAGGTTAAAAGTAAATTACTATTTGTAAATTTCTATTATTAATTATATATTGTATCAAATACTCTAACTAATATATAAATATTATATAAAATTTTATAAATACCTGTTTATTTAATAAAGTTAATTAAATATTGTATTGAGTAATTTAATATTATTGAAAAATTTGTGTACTATATGTTGGTCAAATGTATGCTAGTATTATTATATTATATAATTTATATACCTTTAATGTGCTGTAAATTATTATACTTGAACAATCAAATTTTACAAATTTTTAATTAATGAGCATTATAAAATAAAAGTTTTGTAATTAATTTTTACTATTATTTAGTAGATTAACTAATAATCTCACATATAAAATATATCACAATATTATAAATAATATGTTATTTGTTACAATAAATAAACACAATAAAATACTACATTAAAATGTTTTATTTTGTATAATGCATTTTGTTTTACCATGGTAACAATATATTTATCTATTTTCATGCATGAAACTATTATTATAAATATTATACCTAATATTAATTGCAATTAACAATTGATTTTATCAATAAATATACAATAGGCATATTGATAATGTAATAAGTAATTATTTATTTATATCTAACATTACAATATTATACTGTTTATATTAGTACAATTATTTCCTATGTATTAGTTAGTTATTAATATAATAATGAAACATATTTTATGCAAATATTATTATTATTTTAAATAAAAATTCCATGCTAAATTTATATTCTTTTCCATAAATCTCAATTATTTGACTATTATTAAATTAATTAACTATTAAATATAATTTAAATGAAAAATATAAAAATTGCGAGCATATAAAATATAATATATATAAATATAATACATATTATGTAAACATTAAGCAAAATAGTTTACTGTATAAAGTTAAACATTGTATTAAATATAAATTGTAATTTTATACACAATACACAAAAATAACATTATCGATTCTAGCAATAGAATAAACCCTTTAAACAAACAAAATAAATACTGTAATATTTTAATTGCTAAAAAGTTAAATATAATCACCATAAGATATTTAATTTCAATTATTACACCATTTATTGCCGCTAACAAAAGAGTTTTTAACAAAACCTAATTAAATCTTATTTATATTACAGCATAAAATATTCTAAATAAAATTAACTGATCAAAGTTTAACATTATAATTAATTGTAAATTGTAATGTTATACATCCTTTAAAAACAACTTATATCAACAAAATAAATTGAATCATAGTTTAGTGTTTGGGTGTCATATACTGTAATGGCCCGGAACAATGTTAATGTTAAACTCCAATAGACATATTTAATTACTGAACTAGGACATTGGTTGGGTGGTTGGGTGGAGGAGGGTCTCAGCTATAATATAAACATTTTTAAGCTTAATGATTTGATATTTTTTTAAATTTTTGATCGCCTTAATTAAATAGTTGTAAAGTCCAGCACATATATGCTATGCAAAACATTGAGACAGGCATTGATTGAAATATTCTTGATACAATTTATTTAGTTGTTTTTGCTTTATTTGCTTAATTTATCTAAATATTATAATTGCTATATTTATATAAATATACCAGACTATAAACTAACTTTATATATACTTTCAATCAGTGTATTGTCTAAAAGCAAGTAATGTGTGCTATAAGAATTTTAAAAATTTAAATTATTAATTTTTAATTTCATGCAGGTTTAAAAATGGCCATGGTACCGACATTTATTGGCGTTGGCGTTGGCATTGTCAGCGTCATCAAGGGCATTTGGAACAGTCTATTTGGAAAAAAGACTCCCTACTTTGCCGATCACGAACAGCCCAAATTGGTACAGGGTAATAGCGTACATGGCACCATCATATACAGAGAGAAGAACCAATTGAGAGGGTCGAGAAATTACGACATCGGCTACCGGGGTAGACAGTCCATCACGGCCATAGTGGTGCGGCCCATAAACAGCGCGTTGCGATCGCCCAGCGCACGGGTGACCGACGGTGGTATTGGTGACACGTTTGTCAAGATTGAGCTAGAGTCACCGGGCAATTGTTACTGGGGTTACGAATTTATTGTATTTGGCCCGGCCACCGATGGCTACAATTGTTTTGCTATTGAGTACTAAATTTTTGACTTTATATAATTTTTGTAATTTTTGATTTTTTAAAATTTTGTTTCTGCTTGTTTTATTATTTAACTTTATTAATAAATATATTGTATTTTGAATCACAATTTGTGATTAATTTGCTTAAGTACTAACAATCATTGAATTTGTATATGTAATACAAATATTATTTAACATTATTTAAAAATTGTTATATTTATAAAATTTAATATTTGGGATAATCATATTATTTTTAGTTTACCTAGCTTTTCTCAACCATTATGAAAATTATTATTAAAAATCTGTGTTAGAAAATTATTAAAATTTACATTATATTAATTTGTTTTTAATTGTAAATTATTTAAAATTTTAATAAGTTTTATTTGTAAAGTTTAATTTTAATAAAACATTCATCAATTATTGAAATTTTTAAAATAAAATTATTTAATCAAAGCTGTTTTATAAATAGGCAATATATAAACAATACAGTGTGTTCCAACCGTATAAACACAGTATGGTTTTTGTTAATAAAATTAAAACCACTGAAGTTATCATGGTAAAATTTGAACCAAACATTGTTCAAACAATTGTGCACAAGTAGTGTTGACCAACAGTTCCACTGTAGTATATTTATGTTGTATAATGCATAATAATATTAATATACTGATATACATGTATAAAATGTAGTCCGACTTTTATTAGATATATACGAGTCCACAGCGCGCGCATGCGCACTAAAAGTTTATCGGTGTATTAGCGTTAGTGCTATATAGTTGCTATATAGTTGGGGGGAAAAAGCACTATATATTCGTCCTTTTCCCTACACAACATTTCGTTAGTTATTATGATTATGTATAATAATAATATTTAACTTCCAATTAACATATAATTACAATTTACATAGAATTTATAAAATATTTTAATTTATGTTTCCAGTTATATACAAATAAATAACAAGCAGATAAAATATTTATACATAAAAAGCAGAATAGTTTACTGTACAAGTTTAATATTGTACTTCATTGTATAAACATTTAATTCCATGTAAATAATATGTAATTTTATATGTAATTATTTTCTCAACAGAATGCAAACTTTAAACAAAATAAATATTGTTATTATATTAGTATAAGGGTAGCATTTAATGGTCTTTAACAATTTTAAAGCTAGATTTTGAAGCACATATTAAATTACACCAACTTTGGTAAAGTGGGGGGGGGGGAGGCATCACATAATCCCTATTGGTGAATATAACACTGAAAAATGAGATATACATTTCCT